GGGACCACGTGCGTTTGCAGCCAAAACACTGGAATCACGTCGTTTTCAGTGATGAGGCCAGATATGGATTTTTTAGGGTTGATTGGCGAATCCGTGTCCACCGACGTGTACGAGGGGCATAAAACGATGATTGTGTACTGCCTAGGGTGCAAGCAGGGTATGGTAACGGCTCTGTTTGGGGAGCATTTCATGTCGGTGTCCAGAACCAGTTGGTTTTTCTAGGAGGCAACCTCACCCAGGATTCCTACAGAAACACTCTACAGCAAACAATGCTTCGATTGGTAAGAGTCATCTTCAGGAACAACTTTGTGTACCAAAACGACTGCGCAACCCAACATCGAGGCCGCAGAATCACTGTTTTTCTTCAAAACCAATGGGTTCAGCAACTGCCCTGGCCTGAAAACTCTCCAGATATGAACCCAATTGAAAATCTGTGGGCGGAAGTAGCTCACAGAATTAATAGCTATGGTCCTCGGCCGGTAAATAGTGATGACCTGCGACAGGCAAATATCACTGCGTGGAATGATATCCCCAGCCAAACTCTAAAAAACGTGTCACAGGGTATGCCATGTAGGATGAGGGCGCTGCAAGCGGCTGCTGGAGGTCATACCCGCAATAACTGACTTTTCATGATTTACTGTAGTGAGTTCTTTGACTGTGTAACATATCACTGTCCGGAGGCTACCATTTTCTTTAATATCTTATCTTAAAGTTTATACTGACATCAAACTGTTGATATGGTTTTCTGGGGGTGTTCCTTTCTTTTGAATGGCATCTTATGTCAGATTTAATATTATTGACCAAAATATCTCACAACAGAAGACTGGATGTTATTATCACTCAGTGACATACTTTTTTAATGACTCAAGCCAAAAAAAAATTTAATCAGCACTCAAAAATAACAATGATAAAAAATATTCCATATTAAGTAGCAACCCTGTATATTTGCTCGGATAGCGAACTTAATATGTGCAGTACCGCAATCTATAACAGGCCCGTAGCCAGGGGGGTTCGAAAGAACCGCCCCTTTTGGTGGAAAAAGGTCCACTCTTGGAAAAATTTGATCTAGGTTCATTAAGTTTTTATGGAAAAAGGTCCCCTTTTTCAGAAAAAGACCCCCCCCCCTTTTGAAATTGCTGGCTACGGGCCTGTATAAAGTTACAGATGGGAAAAGGCAACGTGTCTCTCATAACAGTTGTTAAGTACAACATTTACCTGTACCACTGCGTTAAAAAGAGTCTGATGTTACGAAAGGTTGATTTGTATTTCCCAAAATTAAAATATAGAACCGTTCAATGCGTTAAGGATTTCCTTTACTTGTTTAACGACTGATTTTCATTGTTACAAAATGTATTGAATTTGTTATTGTTCCAAAGATAATAAAATCTCAGGTAGATTTTGTTTTTCATGCCGGAGAGTTTTAAAAAGTGCTGCGTGAAGAGGTTTGATGCCAAAAGTCTCCAAAGATGCAGAAGCAGTTACAGCATAACTCAACTTGAAGATGTACCTGTCGCCACGTAATGTAGACATACTCGGCGTAGCCCGTAGCTCCTTGCGATTAAAAAAAATCGCACTGACAATTTCATCGCACGGCGCCCGTGTAAATGTAATCTAGGCTTTTATTTGTATTCTACCGCTTTCTTCAACAAGAAGCAAACATATTGTTGCCCTGTTAAAATTTCCTGCTTTGGCTAAAAATACTAATAACTAAATCATGAAAATAATTGAAAAAACAATTAACCAAAGTCTGTTCGATGTGAGGTCCTGGGCACGGTGTGAGCTACATAGTCGACCTATTTAAACGCCATTTTTGTTTCTCCACCTTACATTTTATCTAACCTACCAAGTAAGCACACAAGAGTTAGTTGTCTAATATACTGTGCAATTGGTTTTCTGGAGCATTAATGCTTATTTATTTATTTATTTATTTATTTATTTATTTATTTATTTATTTATATATATTTTTGAAGATGTTATGGTTATTTTTTCATTTACACTAATAAATTAATAAATATAAAAAAATATGTTTACAATTACTGGCAGAACTAAATTGTATACGTGAAGTTGAAAAGGTCATTTGCACACTAACACTGCGGTTTTTATTTCCTAGAATAAATTAATCGCCCGCCCTGTAATTAACTCTTATCAGATCAAATTAATTTTGTGTAAATATTGAAATAAGAATAACGTTGTATGCATGACTGGCGTGTAACATTAACTCGTGGCGGTTAGTAGATTCTGCAGCGCTGTGAGCAAGACCCCAACAAAGCCTGTGCATTTTAAGTTTAATTTTTAAAAAATTGTGATGAGATATCTTTATTGTGTGTCACATTTTAATTTGTAAAAATGAATAAATAAAGTCAACAATTTTGTTTAAAATCACTAGCAGCACTATCATTGGTGAGTTTTATTGTGCATTATGTTCATGTCCTGTCCAGGGCACAAACTGAAATACAATTAAAATCGCGATTCTGTGGTTTGATTTCCCAGAATTACTCTTTTCAGATAAGATTGTATAAACAAGGAAATAAGAATAACAAAATATATAAAACTGTCTTCGAACGTTGGTTCTCGGCATAAGCAGATTCTGCAGTGCTGTGAACTGAATTCAGTTATTGCTATTTTTGTTTGGATCCGATGATGGGCAAAGTACTGAACGTCGTGCTTCTCTATGTGGCTTGCATTGCCCTTTCGGGAGTGCTGATTTGTGATGAAGCAGTGGGAGGTAAAATATATTTTATTTATTTATTTTATACACTTTACATAGGCTGTAAAAGGTTAACTTGCAGTGACCTAAGATACAAGTAATGCAGTACAATACGAAATGTATTGTTAGGTTTTGGCAAGTTTGTTCAAATTCAATTATTTAAAAATTAAAACAACTGTAAAATGTGTATAATGTGTATGATAAACTTGGCAGTTAGGCTTATAATTGACATTGCTGCTTACAAGGAAAAATTGACCGTCAAATTTAGTTTAAATGAGGTTACCTTACGCAGCAGTATTATAAATTTGGCAGTTAGGCTAATTATTGACATTGCTATTCACAGATGAAATTTCGACAGTCAAATTTTTTTTAAATCAGCTTACCTCACGCAACAAAAGTAAGCATTCCTCTTCATAAGAACAGAAAATTATCATAAACATTTCGACTTGATGACTTGTAAATGGCATATTATGCGAAATATCAGTCAATTATAACAAAGTTTAAAAAATGAGCGATCCATTAAAATAATTCTGATAATATGTACATAAAAAGATGTTGTGCGATGTGCCATCAGGGCAAGTTTTCTTTTACGACAACCAAAATGTTACATTTGTCCTTATGACGAAGCTAAAATGAAGGTAGGGACATGTTTGAATGCTACAGGTAATTTTTTTGTTTTTTTCGTATGTGTTTAAAAACAACAATTTCAGAATTGGTTCTTCGTCAGAAAAATTAATCATTTCACCGCGAATCGTGCGTTTGTCTCAGTACTGGCGCAGGATAAGAGCAAAATTTGACTATGAACGGACCTTTTCACAGACGAAGGGTGGTTCCAACCCCCGAGAGTCTCCCCCTCCCCCGTTCAGGGCAAAAAAATGTGATATCATCCTTTCTGATTGCTTCCTCCCGTTTATGTTTGAAATAACAATTTCACAATAAGTTATTTTTCAGAAAAGTTTACCATTTCACTAGCGCGAAACGTGCGTTTGTCTCAGTACTGTCGCAGGATAAGAGCAAAATTTGACTATTAGTGAACCTTTTCCCAGCCGAAGGTGTGGCTCCAACCCCCGAGAGTCTCCCCCCTCCACTCCCCACCCCACCCCAACCCCCGTTCAGGGCAAAAAAAATGTGATTTCATCATTTGCTGATAGTTGTCGTTCTACACGAGACCGTATGAATCACTTACCTGCCAAGGTCAACACTGAAGCCAGCCATGTTAACAGTTGAATCCAATGTCCCTTCAAAGCCATGTCACGGGCCGTCCTGGATGCCTATTCCATATTGGAGTTTCCTTTTTGTGTTTTCAAATTACGCTTCTTTCACAAAAGAAGCTAACTCTACTTCCTTCATCTTATCTTTTTCAATTCGTGTATTTTACTGCTCATCGTTAGGCAGCCATTAAAGACACTCGTCACCCACCAGGAAGCTTAACTTAACTTATACAATTTATGTTAACAATCACTACCGGCACTATGATTGTGGACTTTTTTTTTTGTACATTGATTGAGTTGTGTCAAAGGTTTGGATATAGTTACATGTAAGAGCGTGATTCTGTGGGTTTTTTTCCCAAAGATAAATTCGATCTACAAACCTCTTATTTTCAACGTACTCGTACAATCACCAACTTTTCTGGATATAACTCAACGCCAAGAGGCGGCGTGTTAATTTGTTTATCTGGCTGCATTCAGTGAGAGTCCCCGTGGAGTTATATCGTTTTACTTAAAACGATAGTTTCATTGGAAATGAGTTTAATTTTCACTTTTCAAATCAAATCATATAGTGTAAATGAGAATATTACAGTGCTGATTTACTCGTATATATAACTGCCGTTAACACTGGTTTTAATAGATTCTGCACTGCTGTAAGCTGAATCCAAGTTATAGCGATATTAGCTATATAATATACAAATGCTATAAAATGTTTGGTTGCGATATAGCAAAAAAGAAACGGAATGAAAGCTTTGGGAAGTCCAGTGTTATTGTTTAGTTTTGGTTATTTTGTTCTAGTTTGTTCTTATAATTAGAGATTAGACATTTTGAGGTCGGTTATTTATTTAGCTGGAATATCAGTCAATTTTTTTATCTTTTCATAATATCGTGAAAAATGTGTAAAGACTGAATTTTAACAGCCATCACATTTAAGTGGGACATATGAACATCGGACAGACGGTCCCCAGTAACGTAATGCTGTAGGGGTGGTGCCCGCCTGGTGGTGCCCGCCTTGTGGTGCCTTCATGGTGGTGCCTGCCTTGTGGTGCCTGCCTTGCAATGCGTCAAGATCCAGCAAACAATCTCTGAATGCATCATCTTTTGAATTTGAATCAAGATATGTATATTAGCATGCAAACACGTTGACAACTTCTCTCTTTTTGTGTAGAAACCTGCAGCATATCCCAGTACGAGGTTACATACAACTACCGGGACGAACTCGCCCAGTCAACTTGCACTGCTATGAGTGGCCGGAGAGGATGGGTGTATGCAGTGCGCAGGACATGTGATGGCGACGGGCCAACTTGCGCACAAATCTGTAGACGCAGAGCCCTCTCTGCCCAAGATAGCCAAGTCAGCAGTAGAGGGTAAGAATTGCCCATTCACTGTTAGATATAATGTGTTCGGTTGTGTTGCACAGATGATTATTTTGTCTCCAAAATTTACCCTTAAGATTTTTTTCATTTCATAACTGTTCTTTATCCAACTTAAAAGCATTACGATCTTTACCTTTACAATTTCCTATGGTTGACACTGCATTTACGCTACATTAGATAGATCCGTAATATACATGTCCCATACCTCCTGTGCAGAAGAGATGCAAATTTCGTATATATCTCGTATATATCAATACTGAGATGTTTAATCCTTTAATTTTTCATTCTTTATTAGTTTTTATTTCATTGCTATCAACTCGTGGGCATCACTTTCCTCCCATTAATCACAATACTAATTAATGGATTTTTTCAGACTGGAATGCTTTAACGCTCTCCATGTGTATGGAGGGAGACCCCAACTATCTGAAGATACTAGAAAAGACATTGCCAAACTCGGTCTGAAAATATTCCGCTACAACTCCTGTGATGGGAAGGGCTGTGGACCAAACTTTTGCTGTTGCCGCTCAAAATAAAGTCACCAGTTTTAACATCAGACAGATTAATAAAAAAATGACTGATTGGTACTAATAAATTTGGTAAAGAGGCCTATCATCAGCCTTCATGTATCATTGACATAGCTTTTAACAGAGGAAAAATTGTAAAAGTTTGACAGTTAAATTTTGTTAATTTGACTTTACCATATACTGCAAAAGTGAGACTGTTGCATTATGAGGACAGGAAAGATGTAACTGGAGTATTATAATAAATATAAGGCTATTATAGCAGAAATGAAAATGTGCATTTTATTGGAAACATTTTAGCTAGATTTATAAAACATGATATATGATGAATTCTAGGGGCTACTTGTCCTTTGTTCTTGACATCCAAATAGTAATACTTTCAATTATCGATATGGGAGCTGAAATTAAAATACGCGCATGCATTCATAAGAACCCATGGGATATGTTTCCACCGAAGTCTCTATTATCAAACATATATGTTTAATATAACGCACAAGCTATTGATAGTAATTTCAGTTGGGGGTGGGGGAG